CAACTCTCAAATTACAAGCACCCAGCGAAACTCAAAGTTGCATATTGTAGTCATGAATGACAGATTATGTTCCGTGACAAATCAAAAACCCCCCAATGAACCAACTTCAGTTTACCCCAAAGCCAGAGGGAGCTTTACCAACACTTTTTTGTACAAACAAAGGCCATCTAGAAACAACATCCAGGACCTTTAGAAAAAGAAAAGGAAGAAGCGCGACTTTGCAGACACCTAGTGAGCACTGACAAGGAAAGGGTGCTGACAGACTCCGCATTCTATGGTCTCTGAACCTGAGCTCGGGACCTGAACCTGCATTTTGGTAAGAACGGCAAATTCACATCAGTACTCGTATAAAGAAAGAACTTGTTGGCATTACTATGAAGGAACAGCAAATTCAGTTTTCCGACCTGGAGATGGACAGTGCAAGTAGGGCACGCGACTTCTCTCATTCGCTTGCCAGATGATCCTTCAGAAGATTTTGATCCCGAGGATGTCTTGCGATTCCTTTCCATCTCCTCCTGTCATTATGTTTCATATGCATTAGGTGACCGATGCAGAAAAGCAAAGAGTACAGGAAGAGATGGGGTTGTTACTCAAATTACCTGAAGTTTCTTGGCGAGGTCCTCATGGCTAATTAATCCTGCAGGTTTACTGGCTGCTTCTTTAGTATTCGTCAACCGCTGTGTCACTTCCGCCTGCAAAAACCGAGTTGCCGCAACGTGAAGATCCAGCAACAAAATGATAGATGCATTCACAAAATACCCCTTCTCAGCAATAATTGTACGCAGACACAGTGAATAACCAATGGTTTGGTCAACAACGGAAATGATCCGAAATAAAAATGCTGTTAAATAGCTTTTGCTACATTTTGCAGTATCTTCAGAGAACCAAATATAATGTTAATGCGAGCCTGTAGAGCAGATTTTCTGTTATATTTCCTTCTCCTACCACAAGCATATATAACATAATAAAAGGGACGTAGGTAAACTTATCAGGAACTATTGTGCTCATAAATCACATCTTTCCTTCTCTTCAGAATATTTGCTTGTCATTACATGAGCATTAAAAATACCACCTACTAAGCCTGGATCCTAGACATTAGGCCCAAACGCCTGTGCACATAACTATGACTGGTATCCTACACTATGACCTAAAACATGCAGAACACAGATACTGAAAAGCCACGTATCATTGGGGGGTAAGAACGGTGTGGATTCTGGGTCGACAGACTTACCAGGCACCGGTCACAAACTCTAACTGGCTGGGCATTCTCCTCAGCAGTAAGAGCAATTCTTCCATGGGTACATTTATCACAGAATATGTCCCCACAGTTTCTGCAGTGGTGCTGTTTAGATGTTCCAAACATAACCAGAGTTAGAATCACCACAACACGGCATGCACAAGATGGAAAATACAAGTTCAAAAAACCAAGAAGAAAAAGAAAATTACCCTTCGAATGAATGCATTAAAATCAGTCCCACATCCTGTACACTTCATTACAGCTTCATCAGGGACCTATGGAAACAAAAACAAAAAACAAAAAACAAAAAACAAAAAACAAAAAACAAAAAACAAAAAACAAAAAAAAAGGTTTAACAGTCGACTAAAAAAAGCACTTGTACTTCTGAAGATGGACAAGAACCTGAAAGCATGCAGCCTAACAGATATGCACATTATGTTTTCTTCATTTTAGGATAGGGGTTGAAAGGATATACAAATTCTTACCCAATGATCTTTCTCCTCATTAGCGGGCTTTATGAAGTTCATCCAATCGCCAAAACCTTTCTTCCTCTCTGCCGTCTGCTCAGATATCTTTGAATGATCAGAAGGCTTGGGTCTTCCCCCCATTTCCTTCAGCTGCAAACATATGTCACCAAATAACAACCCATCAACCAAAGAAAGTGATAACAAGGAGAAGAAACTTGTCTATCAATCAAGTGAGAGCTATGTAGTCATGAAAGTTGAGCAATGAGCACTGTTATGAACCAACCTGTATGGTTGCAGCAGTCACTGTATCAAGAAGTGTACTGGTCGTGTAGCTATTTGATTGCAACCTGATGCGCCTTGGTTCAACATCCACAGAGCTCTTGGACCAGAAGGCAAAAGTTGACGAGTCCATTTTCTTTGGATTAAAGAACAAAACAACAGTAATAAGTCCACACGCCAGAGTTAAAGTTATATTACAAGAATGAAAAAGCGGTAAAAAAAAGCTTCCTTACATCACATCTTGTGATGTTCTCAAGGGGATAAATTCTGAGTGTCCGACTGGTATTGGGATCTAGCATCTTAATTCCATCCAAACCAATCTGCATGAGAAATAAAGAAATCATGAACAAAAATGTCATTTCAGAAATAGAGGGAAAACTCACTAAGTTACCTCAAATTAAAGGCAGAAACAATCTAAGTAAATATGAAGAAGAAGAAGAATAGACAAGTTAACGTGCTATAACTATTTACTTTCACATGTGTAGAAGCTTGTATGGCAAAGAATTTCAAATCATGATAGAAACATGCACGAGAAGTCGTACAACACAATAGTAAACTTTTGAACCAAATTGGAAGCAAAAATCAATCAGGAACAACTGACTCCTGCAAAACAGTAGTGGTTCTCTAGAATCCATCATGCTATACTATCCTTCAAACTTGTTACTAAACATACCGTTCCTAAAGAACTTATATTTATCAATTGAATCACAAACAAATTGCTCTACAACCAATGACCCAACACCTAAATAATTAATTCGCAATTTCCTCACAACTGCAAATGAGCCCCAATCGTTTCATTTGGCAAGTCAGTAAAACTAGCTACTTAGGACCTTCAGAAGACAGCAACCATTAAGCAACTCACATAAAACAGAATCAAATAGAATCACCCTCCGTGTTCTGACCTAGAAGAGTCGGAATTCCCATAATTCTATGTTGTAGCTACTTAACCAAAAGGGCAAACAAAATTTTAATGGAGCAGAAACAATGCGCCATGAACCAAACACCTACTAATGATGAAAAACTATCCCCACACCATTGAACTAAGCCATTCAATAAGTAATCTCTATTGTACTACAACACGATAAGATATCCGAAAGACATCAAGAATGTGGTACCTGGCAAAGCACATCCATGGTGCTCTGGCCTCCACTTTCAGCAAGAAGCTTAACCCTGAACTTCTGCACACCACTCTTCACATCTTCCTGAGTGTCCATCTTAGGCACTGCCCTCACAATCTTAGGAGAATTCAAACCAGAACCCGAACCCAAAGAAGAGTCCTTTGAGCTAGGGACGTTAATGGCTCTTCCATAATCATCGAACATACCCCATGTTGAAGACTTCGGTGCCGTCCCTCGTGCCCCGTACGGCTCCACCTTCCCACCTTGATAAGCAATAACACCATCACCATATCCACCATCCCGACCCATTTCAGACCTCCCTTCTGACCGCATTCCATAAGGATCCATCCCCAAATCAGACCGACCCCGATTATAGATCCCATACTTATCGTCAAAATACCCAACGCCATGATCGAACTTCGGCGAATTCTCATACTGGTTATCATACACAGGCGGAACAGACGATCCTACCGGATTAAGGGACGAATAAGACACATAGGGGGCTCCGGCGATCGGATTCGAGGCAGGCGGTGGCGGGGGCGGGGCAGCAGCATAGCTGGCACCAGGCGTCTGATGGTGATCGAACGGCGGGAAATACGATTGCTGCGCGGGTGGCTGCTGCTGGTAAGCAGCCCCTAGCGAATCGTAAGGCTGGAAAGCCGGCTGCTGGGCTGGCGGTGGATTGAACGAGGATTGGGAATTCAAAGGAGCTGAAGCCGGTTGGGAGTACGAGGCAGCTGCGGGATCGGAAGAGTAAGGAGGTGGAGGAGGGTAAGATTGAGGAGGATAGGCGGCGGAGTAATCGTTGGGAGGGTAGCTGGGGGAGAACGGCGGCGCCGACGCCGTCTGGTGGTGATCGATCGAATTGGGCGGGTTTGGATTGGGATTGGGGTTAGGGTTTTGGAAGGTGGGGAACTGGTAGTAGGAAGCGTAATCTCCCTGGTGCATCGCTGGTTCTTCGAGTTGCAGAGATCGGAAGATCGGCAATTGGAGAATTCTCTGGCTTTCTGCTATTAGCTCTCTCTCTCTCTCTCTCTCTCTCTCTCTCTCTCTGTAACTCTTTCTGGCTTCCACGAGACGATGACGAGGGAATTTGAGGAGAAATGAAGGGAAACAGGGAAGGGAAGGGAATGGATTAGTGGGTGTTCGGGAAGAATCGGTTGCGTGCAGGTGAGAACACGGTAAGGTTCGACGATCCTGCTCACGGGAAGCGCCACGTCATCTTACCTTTTTTAACTACGGGATGGGTCTCATGGTCCAGTGACGACCGTGGGCCGCGGTCACCTTGGACAACGAGAGTGGCCCAATACCGATAGCCTAAGCTGGTTTTCCATTGAACCTATGGAAAACTAGGTGGGCCAAGTTCAGCCATTTATCCGGTCTTAATTAGTGTGACAAACGCAATGGATCACTCACTATATTGGTGATGGATACTCCGGAATAAAAGTACCCAAAAAAAAATTAGTGTAGTTGTTGGTTGATAATGTAGAATTTTTTTATGTAAGGGTGATATATCACATCGATATTTTAAAGTCATGTATTTTTTTTTCTGAGAGTGATTGAAAAGGATAACATTCGAGAAGTTGTTGATATATTTCGGAAACATTGAGTCTAAGAATTTGGAAATGCAACAATATGATAGAGAAATATCCTAGTTATAAGTGCTTCAAATACTGCTTCAATGAATCAACCAAAATCGGATTCCAAAAACTTTCACAACTCCTATTTGACGGTACATGAACTTCCTATACTATCTCTTAAAAAAAACACATCAATTAATTGTTGAAGTAAATGAATTAATTTTGTTCCTTTTTTTTCATCATCTTAAATTGGTTAGAATATCCAGCATTTCACACCTGTTTCTATACTATAAAGTGAGTAAATATGAGATTTATTTACCTTAATTAGAAGAAAATCAAAGATTCTTCATTAATTAAAACAATACATCTGTCATCCATATCGCCTTTCCTTCTGAATTTATCCCTAATATGTTGCATTAGTTATTTAAAACCAAAATACTTACTCCCAAAACAACCAAAGATTCACCCAACTCATCAAAAACCAAAAACTAACAACAACAAAAAAAACCAAAACATTCTATAAAGGAAGAAAAACCATTGAATTCCTTCCCATATCAAACGACCAATTCCCGAATATATATACAAACCTCAACCCTCCCTCAACATTATTCACCACAAGAAGAAACACACAAAGCTCCAAAAGAATGGCGAAAACCGCAGTAATTTTGTCCCTCTTCGCATTCTCCGTAGCCTCCTCTCTATGGGCCCACACTTGCGTCGCTAGCGTCAGCATAAGACTGGCGGGCCCAGAAATCACGGCCATATGCGACAAGAGCGTCGACCGCCAGTTCTGCCTCAACTTCCTGCAATCGACGCCCGGAATCTCCACCGCCGATCTCAAGGGCGCCGGCCTGATCGTCCTGGACTCGGCTCGAGCCGAGGCTTCGAGCACCGAGAGCTACGTCAAGGCGCTTCTGGGGAAGGCCACGGATCCCAAGCAGAAGGAGGCCTACAAGACGTGCCTGAGCAACTACGACGACGCCGTCGACGACATCGAGGCGGCGAAGGCGTCGCTGAGCGGCGGCGACTACAACGGCGCCAACATTCAGGCGTCGGGGGCTCAGGAGAACGCCGACACGTGCGACGAAGGGGTGAAGGGCTCGGATCTGTCGAAGAAGAATCAGCACTTGTTTAAGGTTCTCGACATAGTTTTGATCATTGCCAACAAGTTGCGCGGTTAATGATTGAATTTGTTGCGACTGAGGATTTGTTTTTTCCCCCGTGTGGTTATAGAATAATGATGGGAATTGTTATATTACAGAGGATTGGGAGCGGTTTCTAGTCCTGTTGTTGCATGGATTTACAGTCATTGATATGTTGCACCGGTTTTCGTAGTAAATTCTGATGAGTTTGATTGGTTAAATCTGCACGTTGATATGAATTGAATCGGATTTGTTGTCGTCGAATGAAAGTCATGGTAGATGATTTTATATACGTTGGTTTTCTGTTCTGGACTTAATAACTAATTCTTTATTAGATTGGCCTGACTCTTAGTCGTTAGTAGACTAACTAACACACATTGTAATGAACAACGTAAATCTGTGTGTTATTTTCTTTCTTAAATCGTTATATTTTTTACATTGTCGCATTACATTCCATCCATGATGCTCTTAAATTGGTGGTAATTAATCTGCCTCAATCAAGTGATACGTAATCTTGATGGTAGTTAGAGAGTAGATTAATTGGACCATGATATATAGTTCGGGACTTATTAACTACTCACCACGGTTCGATGTGATACACGTCTACAATGGGTGGTTATAGAGTGGGATTGATTAGACTGGTTACTCAAATTGACTAAAAACATAATAAACAAACTGAACCCAATTGTGTAATTGCGGCCAAGCCCAGGTTCAACCATTCACAATAGAAGGGCTCCAGCCTGACAAAAGAGGGATGAAGCCCTCGTAGAGTTGTCTGCCAGAGCTTCCCATTGAACAACTCACTGGTGGGCAATGGGCGGGTTGGGTGGGTTTTCGTTTCAAATTGGCCAACAAGCTTACTAACGAGTTGGAATAATTGTGACCCGCAATCCACTCACATTCTTCTGCGGTCAGGTTGGGTGAGTGGCGGATGGGCGCGGTTGGGTCGTGGGTTAACCCGCAAAAGCAATTTTCCAATTAGCCATTAAGAAAGTTGACTAGCATTTATAATAAGCTCATAGTAAATTAGTAAGTCTGCATCAATTTAAACACTTCTCCTTTTGGCTCATTCTCAAGTGAATCCAAGTAGTATTTGCATATAATTTTTTACTACTCAATCAACCAATTGTTCATAGAAAACTTACGCATTTTGTGATTTTGATACAATTAATAATTTAAAGTTTTCATCTGAATATTTAATGTATATTAACAATAATTTTCATTTCAATATCCCATGGATATTAGTTACACAACACAATAACCAATAATAGTAGTCAAAATTATTCTTTATTCTCCTGCTTTAGAAATAAATAGTCAGACTGTAGTACAGTTCGGAAATATGAATATTTGATTCTATAAGAAGCAAAAAAAATCATGTGAAAATAGAATGCGGGTCATTCGGGTGACCCGCAATCCACCCACATAAGTGCGGGTGAGAGATTTCTCAATCCGCAATCCACTCACATCAATCACCCACTGCTTGCGGGTTGGGTTATTTGCGGATGGATCGATATCACTCCGCAGATTAACCACCCACGTGCCCAACCCTAGTTGGGATGGAAACATAACCTGAACCCACGAGTATCTTATGTGATCCAATCCGATTAACGCGGATAAAACTCGTACTAACGGATTAGGGCCAAGTTCGTGTTTAAACTCGTTAACTATTTTGCGGGTTGGGTTCGGGTTTAGCTATATCCAACCCGCTCCAGCTCGTACTCATTCCCAACCACAAATCCCTTACTCACTTCTCATTGGGCATTTCACATACTAATCTTACTTATGTTTGTGGAGACATGTCTAATTTGTTTTTCCTAATTCTGTAGAATGAAATTGATATTATGAAGTGGAGAGTGAAGAAGCTTAGTTTACAAAAAGGAAGAAGTTTTCAATTAATCGTTTTGTTTATGGATGTTTATATTTAATGTTGAATAATTTGTCTGGATACTTTGTGGTTTACTTGTATGCTTTAGATTGGTGTTTTTTGTTTATCTAATTTGTATGGGAAGAATGATATTAGACTTTTATTTTGGTATGTTATTATGGATTTGTTATCACATAACCCATGGGTATCCATAAACCCGCGGATAACCAGCGGCCTGGGATGGATGAGTTTTTCAAATCCAATGAATTTTAACCCTGATTTTTTTGGTGGACTGTGGATTCACTTCCTGTTCTTTCAACTATAGAATTTATTGGAGTTTTTTCATTATAAATTGAGATCTTCTTCGAACTTAATGCACAAATATATAGAATAGCAGCATATAACATCTTTCTAGCCTGCATATTCATTGAACTCAATCACATTTAGAAAGCTTCTCTCTATCTTTCAGCAACTGATCGGGAAGTGGTTTACGAAAGGAACTCACTTTGTTCGAGCTACTTCGTTCCACTCACTTTGTTCGAGATATCGTTACCTGCACCACAACAATTCGACACTAAAATTTGAAAAGAATTAAAGAAATAATAACAAAAGAAAGGGTGTGGTCTAGAGCCGGCTGGGTCAGAGGCCTGTCAAACTATGTCAGGCGGGAGACAGAAAGAATATTAAGTTGATTCCTTTTCAATGAGAACTAGACACGCGTTCCATATCCCCATGTGCTTGGGGATGCCATTTTATCCGTGAATCTGGAATTCCACACGATTATTACTGAGATGCGCGGAATCGATAAAAAATTCTCGACATTCTTACCGAGCGGCATCCCCTTTTAGTTTTGAGTAGGTGGAACCATTTTGTTTTGGTTCTTCTCCACATTCTTACCAGGCAGTCCAACAATTTGCCTATGATTTTTTTCAACTGATATTTCGATATAGAAAGATCTCCTTATTTCTTCACTGCGACCTCTGGGCTAAGTCCATCTTAATGAAATAGAATATCCTTGCTCAGCTCGCGGCTTTCTCCGGGCTTGATAACGCCTGTAGCTGGAGCTAGGGCCACTCACGTTTAAGAATGGAAAAAAGCGTGGGAGGACGTTGCAGATGTCGGGGATAAACCCATGGGTTTGGGTTATAGTTTGGCAAAATCCAACCCAACCCGGCCATTACCATCCCTAGATTAATCCAATGGAATTACTACATACTACATACAACTAACAATGAAACAAAGAAGTCTTCCATCAAGACCACAAATGTGATTGTTTTCCGACGAGGAAATTCTTGTATTTGAGATCAATTAATGCACCTTTGACTTCCTGAACAACGATTAGTAATATGGCCACACCTCTCCGAACAATGTTCGAATGAGGTTGTTTGATGGTTTTTATGGTTTTTGAGACAAACTAAGTTATGTTACTCTACTCCTATGGAGTTTCAGTGAGAGCTCCAAAAACTAAAAGCTACATGGCTACATTAGGGAAAAGATAAAGTTATGTCTTCGTTTCTTCTATTTATACCCACCGAGTGTAACTGCCTTAGTAAACGCTAGCTGGCATATTGCTTCAACCGCCTTAGGGATCCCTTGTCGCTACCTTGGTGACCAATTGGTGACAGTCGCCTTGGTGTTTACTCCCATCGCCTTGTGGGCCCCTTGTCCCGTCTTGGTGTTGGTTGGTACTTGATGGCCTCGAGTCCGGATCGGGTTGGTGTTGAGTCTTGTTGACTTGTCCTTGCTGGATGGGGTTGAAGCTTTTTATCTTATCCTCCATGATGAAGTCTTGATCACACCCTTGACAGCCCCAATGACTCCACGCTTACTCCATACTCTTACTCTTGAAGGGTTTGGCTTCATCTTGTCGACTTGTTACTTGCTACCAAGCTACATGTAACGGCAGCTTGATACCCTTGTCGCTTGCTACCTATCTCATATTGTCGGTTTGGTACAAAGTCCGCATTGTCGGTTTGGTACCCCCATTGACTCCATACATAGCCAAATTTCACGTCTTGGCACCAAATTTGTATTGTCGTCTTGGCTCCATACTTAACCAAATTTCGTGACTTGGTTGCAAGTCTGCCTTGCCGGCTTGGTACCCTTGGCTAAACACCAAGTTTGCCTTGTTTCCATACTTGGTTTTTTAGAGCCATATTTCACACCAAGGGGGAGGAGGCGGTTGATCATGGAAGCAATAGAGATTTCTTAGCCACTTGTGTATGAGAGGGGGAGTTTGGCCATTTACGCCCAAAACTCAACCCAATAAAGCCCAGCTAGCTCATTTAATGATTAATGTTGAGTTGGCCAAATAAAGTCTTTAATTCTCTTGTAATTAAGCGATGTGGTACAAAATACATTTAGGTGTAAACAAATGTCCCCACAACTTAGTGTATAAGTATTATGCACTAAGTTGTTTAGACCGCTTAAAATCAAGTACTAGCTTCATCAAAGCATTTGTATCAACCCAACCCTTCCGAAACTCATCATGGCCTAGTTTTGGCTTAACTAAAAGACTATAATCACCAACTTTTTTTTACAAGAGATTACGCGCATTGCACTTTGGATGACAGATTACATGGGAGCCAAAGAGAAAACCAGAATTGGATCAAGGTCAGACAAAAAAAAGCACATCGTTGGCCGATCTGTGCTTCAGAAATACAATCAAGGAAGCAAAAAACTGAGATCCAGCCAACCTAAAAAGGGATATGCAATTCTTTAAATTAAAACAGAAATCAACCAAAGTTCTCTAGCAATCAAACCAATCAAAGTAGCATATTCTTGTCTTACTTTCTTTATACGGATGATATAGAGTCATTTTTTTTTTATTGTTAGGTGATACTAGTGATAATACCATCAATCAAACCCTTGTTCGTATATTCTTTGTCGTAATTGACTGTACAGGATTACTAGGAACACCACCCTACGCTTCTTGCAAGTTCATGGTCGCTCCAAAATATTCAGTTGACCTTCATCTTTTCTTGAAGGACAATCAAATTTACAATCTCTCACTCTCTGTTCTTGTCAATCCTACTCAATACTAAAACCATACCAGTGATCATTGGATGTCGGCTACGCTTCCACAGCCAATGGATAGACGCGATGGCAAATTTTGTAAGGAAATTCAATTTTCTTTTCTGTTGGGTCCTTTTCTTGCTTTGTTTCAATTAAGACGTACAACTGTACAAGTAAGCACCCGTTTGGATTAGAAGTTGGAACTCGGCATTGCAACTATTCACATTGTTGATTCGTCCTTTCCCCTGCAGACTGCAGTGCTGCTGGTCCGTGTCTGTGTAAATAGAGGCAGGGTGTCGCAATCCTTACGATATTATTTTTACTCTTTTTCTGGCAAAAGGAGCAGAGGCCAACATATGTCCTTGTCATCTCACAAATCTTCTTTCCCCTCTTCCCCATCGAG